TGATTGTTATATTTTAGCAAAGCCATCAACATTCAGGTCTTTTGTCGTAACGTTACTTCATTATTGTTTGCTCTTTTCCGTTTTGAAAATCTGCATAATTCAATATGGATATAGTGCATGGTTGACTTTCACTACTTTTTTTACTTTTAACCGTATTACATATCCCTAAGATAAACAATAAATCTGAATGTTTGCAATAAAATGACTTTCTTCATTATTTTATAAAAACTTATCAGAAGGTATACATATATTATTTTTGGTGATCTAAGTTTTGTAATATCACATGTTTGGTTGAAGTCAGTCTTCATGGAATAAAATAAAGACAACTTTCCATTCGACACAGATCGTAAGTTATCATCGATACGAGGTCTTAATCATTTTACATTGATTAAGACATTCGAATTGAAATATGCTATCGTAGAACAGTATTCTATTGGTATAAAACCGTGCAATAGACAACGCAAAAGTTAGTAATGCGTATCAGTCTAATCAATGTCATTACATTAGAAAAATTCAACTTACTCAAGAATATTTTGATTTTTATTTGAATACAATTCCTTTATTTCTTGGTCATTAACATATTCATTTTGCATCTTTTTTAAAGATTACTCAGGAACTGAATTATGCAAATATTGATTGTTAGCTTATATAGATAAGAATCTTTAATTAGCATTAGAAATACTTGATTATCTACCATGGGAATTATTACCACACATGGTACAATCATCAATAAGTGCTGTAGAACTTTTTAATTTAAACTATTTTTTTCAATTAGATAGTTATATATGTGCTAACTTGAACGTGAGATGTAAATCTTGACTTACTTTAATGATACGCACCAGTATTTGGATCACTTCGTTCAGCATAAAATTGTATTCAATCAGCATTCGTGTTATACTTTAAAATATGCTATTGCAGAAATTAGCCAATGAACTAGCATACATTTTTTGTTTAGGGGCCAGCTGAAACCCGCCTCCTGGTGTGGGATTTTCTTGCTGTGTTGAAGACCCTATGTTGGCCTTGGGCTGTTTTCTGCTATCTGGTCGGGTTGTTGTCTCTTTGACACATTCCCCGTTTCCATTCTCAATTTTATGTAATATACAATTATCCGGTAAAATTCGACATGATCGTTAACTTGGCGTATCTCTTTTGGTAATTAATCATTAACAATTGTGTATGCATGTATGTGTGTATATATGTGTGTGTTTATTTGAAGTACTTCTTTTATGTAATCTATTCTCATTGTGTTCAAATGTTATGCAAATGGAAAAAGAAAGGAACGTAAAACTTGTAGCCTTTTTTAATGGCTGTTGTATATGATGTCACTATATTTTACAACAACACGCTGTAGTCAAGAATACGAAATCTCTCGAAAGAGGTTGTAGATAAGGGTGTTATCAAATAGGATCCTTGAGAAAAAAGTCATTCTCTCTGTTTAATCGAAACTATATATATTCGATGTATGAATACTTGCTACATTTATGGTAGTTTTTACTTGTAAAAATATTTCATTATTCTACACTACGTTTTGTCAATTATAAACTTTTATGACTCTCAAGATAAAAAAAAGCAAACGTCTTCTTCTTTTCGTCAAAGGATGCTTAATGTTTTATACAATTCATAGTTATTTCTTTTGTCGCCTTTTTGTATCGGCGATATTAAAATAAACTGTTTGCATAGAGATGTTTCTGGTCTATGTTATGCTCGTCCTTATTTAGAGAATGTGGCGGTATTGACATATCTTAAGTTGTTTCATAAATTCGGAATATTAACAGCTTGACCTGTTGTATGGATCTGTATATTGTTGAAGGCTGAATGTTGCTCTCAAGATGTCTTTTTGGTTATTTTTCGTTGGGTTGCTATCTCATTCAAGTATACCCCATATCCCATTTTGCCAAACGTTTCATTAGTTCCTCGTGTCGAGAGAGTTCTGCGTTTTTTTCCCATGCAGAAATTTTTTGGGGAGTCCTTCGATGACCAGTTGTAAGGCAAATTATCCTTTTCAGTGGCAGTAGCAATTACCCACCTTTCAACCCGGTCAATTCACTTTTCAATCATTATCTCCTAAATATGCATTTTGCATCTTTTACTAGACGTTGCGCAAACAAAAATCAATCATTTTCGTTATATATTTTCTTGACGCGTGTTACATTTTCATTTACTAAGAGTTGTTTTTTGACTCCCTGAAAATCTCTTCAGTGCTATGATATTAATACTTTAAATGATACATTTTATTTCCTGTTTATGATTTTATAATGTACCAAAACTAAGTTGCAACTCCCTTATGAGAAATGAAATCTGACAATTTACTGCAAACAAGTGCAAACAAAAAGATACCAAAGGAACATTCAAACTCTTAAGTCGAAAACAAACTGACAAAGCCATGGCAAAAAAAAACCACAAATGACGGAAAGACAAACACCAGCACACAAAACACAACATGAAAAACTAAAGACAGAGCAACACGAACCCAACCAAAAACCCGGGAGTAATCTTAGGTGCTCCGTCAGATCCTGCTCCACATGTGGCACCCATCGTGTTGCTCATGTAAGTACAAAGCCGTTGATAAGTCTAATAGGAAGGTCTTATTCGAGGAAAAAATGACGGAACTGTGGTTACAACAATTGGAACATATCCATCGTCATCTGTTAAACAGATATTCCAAAACTGTCTACCAACTCGTGATGGCGTCCGTAAAATTTTCAAAGGATTTATTTCAACTTCACCATTTGGAACTCTTGGTTCAATAGCTTCCTTGTAAGCAGGAAATGCAAGCTCAAGAATATCGTATCTACTTGGAAATATATATACTTCATGTGCAGGTGCTGCTGGAATGTTGCTACATATAAATGGAAAGTTCACAATTGGGATACTAAAATCATCAATTTTGTCGTAAAGGTTTGTTCTCGACCGACCCTTATTGTCGATTTCTAGAAGCAAGTCAAGATACGAATCAGACTAAATTGTATCTGTTGTATCCCTTATTGTAAGTTCAATGGCACAGATGCGTTCAACATAGTCACCAAACATTGAATTGTTAAGTGAGAGGACATTATCTATATAGCGTATTGTGAAGTTAAAGGAAATTGCTAGCTTCTTTTTATTCTTCCTAAGAAGTTCCTGTATGAAGTCAGCCCCATATGAATAAAGAAACAAGTTGGCAAGAACAACAAGAAGAGGAACACAGTTGATTCCCATGGAAATATCGTTTGTTGGAAATGACATCCTCCAAACGTAACAAATATGTTGTCAATCAAGAAATCAAACATATTGATAATGTCAGTTTCAGAGAATTTCTTTGAATCAGAGTGATTCTTTTACAAAGTACGACTCATCCCTCCCTAAGACAAGATACTACAATATCTACGTTGGCTATTTTTTTATGAAACAAAGCAGGACCAATTCTTTCATTTGTCTTTTAGTTTGGAATTGGGAACACTTGTGTAAAGGGTGGAAAAGTCAAATATTTTAATACTGTTGCAAGAGGAAAGAGACTTAGATTGTAACAGATCTTTCGAATTTTTAAGTATCCACATCTGATTCACGCCGCCCATAGAGATGGTAGTTTCACAATAACTTCGAAGCGCGGCTTTGATTGCTGATAAAAAAAATAATGTTAATGGTATAACAGGGGCGGATTCAGGCGGGAGCGTGGTGGGCGTGCGCCCACCCCCCCCCCCCCCCCTAAAATTTGCAAAGCATGGGTTGTCCTCAGCTTAATAAAGAATATTTCGATAATTTTACCTCAAAAAATTTAAGTTTGCGCCGCCCCCCCCCTAACCTAAAATCCTGCATCCGCCCCTGTTTAGAAAGAGCACTTGGAAGATCCAGCAATATAACGTTGTTTTAAATGACACTTATGTAATTTAGGTATCCAATACAGTGAAGAAAGATCCAGTTCTTCGCTTTCGTTAAAATTCCAAAGCAACATATAACAGACCTATGATTACCTCCTTGGTAAGTGTCATGAGGGTATATTTTGTGTGCATATCATACCTGCAGAGGAGATGAGACAACGTGACATCATCAAGGAAAGGTAATATTTATCTTTAAGACGAACAATTCGTCCCTTTTGTCATTATTTTCGCTTTGACTAATTCCGTAGGAAATTCTAAAATATATCTTTCAAAAAGGACAACAATCACTTATAATAATTGATTTTGTCAAGAGTATGATCAGGTAGACAAAATTGGTTCTATATTTATCAAAAACGCAAGAATTCTTAAAAAGAATGTGTCGTTTAGATATTTGCATGAAATGTCAACAATATCTATCAATTAATGTCGACTTGGGTTTTTGTTACGTTGTGTCATTAACTGCCATTCATAATTGTGTAAAGGAACAAGACAAACACAATTCCCAAGTTGCGATCAAAATACAAATCACTTGCATATATGTTCAATACCCATATTTCTTGCTTTAATCTTTTCTTTTTATGTCCAGCAAAGAAATCGTAACGATTACAATATGTATAATCACCTCTATGTTTTAAGACTATTTCGTTTAATAAGAAATTATTTGTTTTATAATATTATGTGGTATGTAAATTATTATCTTAATACAATCTGTACCAAATGCTAGTCACAAAAGAAGCAAGTGTCTAGCAATACCAGTCCTGATAGCCATTGTCCACATACTGTAATACATTCTTTGATACGCAGCACGGAATGAACTTGATCTTGTAAAAGTTTTAAAAAAAACATTAAAATAATTACGTAGTCGTATTAGTCTTTTAGTTGTATTTCTTTAGATCAACTTCATAACGTTTGACTCGTACGTATCGTATGAAAATTAGAAAATGTAAAAAGATAAGAAAAATTAGGGATCACAAAAACAAAACAAACACGCCTCAGCAGAACAGTATAAACCTGCACGCCTGAAGGTTAGCAATATTTACCAATTTAAAAATAGTATGAATATCTACTGAATGTCATCTCAATCAAAATATTTAAATCATAAGTAATGACAAAGAAATTATGAAATTAACTAATTTGACTTACCCCCTGCCGACAAGAATACTGCTTTGCAGAATATGAGTAAAATGAGAACGGTTCCAGAATCATTCATAGTCACGTAATAACACTTTGTCTATATATTATTTTGAATTTCTGGTATTAAATATTACAACTGTTACGGCTCGGGTAACTCCTATGGTCAAAGGTAAGAACAAATTGTCTTTAACTCAGATTTTAAATGTTCATCAGTAAGATACGTGGTATTAATCATTTATCATTGATTACCGGTAGACTGTTCCATCTCGGGTTTGAAAGCTTCTATTGCATTCTGTGTGTACATGTTAAAGTTTTAATAAATAAATAATTGGTAAGGCCAATCAACCGAATCAATATGTTTAAAAAACAGACTGGCAAACATTTCATTAAATTGTACTTTTATCATAAATGTCATATATCTACAGTTTAGTATCCTGGTCATTCACATCTTCCTGAGGATATATCTATAAATTGTATTAGGAAACTGTATTACCTTATATTGGCTGATACTTTAGCATGATAAAAACAAACCATTAGCTTTAAATATCCTTAATTATCTTTCATGGGAATTATACCAAAGAGTATGCTGCAAAGAGTGAGGTAAATGGAAACTAGTTACAGACGAGCTGTTTTCAAAACTTTAAAAATTTTGGACGTTATTTTCAAAGGTAAATTTAATAAAAAAAAAAAAAAACACATATACACATAATAAAAAGATGAGGTTGGTATGATTTTTATTGAGACAACTACCAAAGACCAAAGAACAACTATTAAAACATCTACAGGTCACCGGAGGGTCTTCAACAATGAAAAAAAACCATACCATTTAGTGAGTTATAAAAGGGGCGGGATGAAAAAATATAAAAACTCATCAAAAGCTTATAATTTGGTACGCAACACGTGTATAGCAATGTAAAATTGAAAACTAATAATATGATTTAAGTTTATTAGCAGTTAACGAACAACACTTTAAGCAGATATTTATGACTTGGTACAGGCAGAAAAGAACATGATGACTTTTACGCAACTTGTTTCCGAGGCCTCAACTCTACCCGTATAAACCTGTAACAGTGGTGTAACGGCACGGCATTATCACAAACTGTGATGACAGTTGAAGTTGATTATATCATAAGCTCAGTATTCAGTACTTCGATACTGACATGATTTGTAACAAACCTCTCTGAAATTGTCCTTTTATAAATTTATAAATTATAAGAGACTTAGGTTTAAACTCCGTCAGAAAAAGTTGACCTGAGATGAATTTCGCAATTATTTTAAATCTTTTTCGGTCATACAGCTCTTCAACTGTTTAGTTTCTTACATATGCTTGGCTTTCAAATATTCGGCTTTGATCGTTCCTGATGAAGATAAATCCCAAAAAGTGCCTCGGACGCATGCAATTTATAACGTGTTGTTTTCATTTTTTTTTAAGGTATCACTACTTTTTTCGTTGTTAATCACAAAAACAAATAACAAAACGACAAAAGATACGATGCATCGATCCGAGAGTACTTGTAATTATTGAAAGCAAGTCCGATTTCAACTATATATATATATCAAGTAAACTATGTTTCTCCTGAGTAAATATTAATCAGCACACGTACTTCAAACGAGTGTAGTGTACAGACGTCAAAAGCAGTCATTGAAAAGTACGACCATGTACAATGTAAAAGTATCGACAGGATGTAGGGCCACATGTTTTTGCAACAAAATAGTAATATATGTTAAGCTATGTATGCACTGTTGGAAATAAAACCAATGTAAAGTACAGATGAAGGCAGTATTTTTACTCTTATGTTGAATTGATAACCTTGAAATAATTCCTTTCTAATGACCTAAAATTTAAATGGGTCTTATCTCAATTAACTAGCTCTAAAAACAAGATGACCATAGAAATAAGATTTGAAATCCAGTTTGTAATAAGATTTCTACAAGAAGAGTCAAACTTAATAAAATATACTCTTTTCATTTGTGCAAAAAATTGTGGTTCCGAAATCTCTAGCTAAAATAGTTAAAAGTTATTAATAGATAATGTTCATTGAAGTCCGAGACGTCACTAAAGACATTGACACGGCAAACGAGAAAATACACACAGTAAGAAGAGACCAAAGTAACAACGTCATCCATATCATCATAGTAACGGTAAGTTTTATCACCCCCAGTTTTTGGTGGGGTTCGTGTTGCCTAGTCTTTAGTTTTCTATGTTGTGTAATCTGTACTATTATTTGTCTGTTTGTCTTTTTATTTTTGGCAATGGCGTTGTCAGTTTGTTTTCGATCTATGAGTTTGACTGTCCCTCTGGTATCTTTCGTCCCTCTTTTATCTTTTTTTCTCCATAGAATTGAGTTAAGATTGGGCCATCGACAGGAAGTAGGATAGTTAGGAGTTAACCTGTTAATATGTATAATGTAATATATAAATAGAGTAATCTCTATATAGAAAATGAACGTGGATGTGTATTTATACATCCCAAAACAACGTTTGGAAAGAATACAAATTTAGTTATGTTTTAATTTGCTGATGACAAAATAGATATTTGTGCCAATGTAAACTATATTCAGAGATCTAATTACAACATTGGTAAGATAACCTTTACTAATAAGTTTGTTTAAAGGTTCGATGAGTTTACACGGATCACATAGTGATTTCCGCGCTTTTAGTACAATATTACCGTAAAATTTAGGATGTGAAATACCGTTTTTAATAAGTTGTCTACAGGTACAGTCAAATTTACTAATCAAATCTTTGTATCTATGAAAGAATTTAGTAAAAGTTTTAAGCAATTTATGGTAACGAAATCCCTGACTTAATAATTTACCAGTGATGCATTGATTAAAATCTAAGACATCACTACACACACGGGCATAACGAACGAGTTGGGATATATAAACACCGTACGATGGAGCCAAAGGAACATCGCCGTCTAAAAAGGGAAAAATTAACAATAGGGAATGAAAAATCGTAACAGACAAACAACAGTACACAAAACACAACATAGAAAACTAACGACTGAGCAACACGAACTCCAACAAAAACTGAAGGTGACTTTCTATTACAGTAGTTGGGTTTATATAGGTTTATAGAAATGTATTCACAACCAGATTTTTTGTGAAGTATTTATCTAATAAAAACCTTCTCTTTGATAAGAGTCGTACAGTCATGTCAGTCTTGACTTAAATTGAGAGGATTATTCAAAATACATTTTCTGAAGCTGGCAATCAGTAACTGCTAGTAGTCGTTTGTTAATTTATGTTGTTCATTGTTATTTTGCTTAGTTTCTCTTGTTACTTATTCTAACCCCGTCAAATTATTGCGCCTGTCCCAAGTCAGAAACCTCTACACTTATTTAGTCTTGTGTGGTTTTTTTTTTTTTAATTTTTGTTCCTTCATATGTTCCGGAATTTAGTGTGGCGTCCATTTCGCTGAACTAGTGTACATTATTGTTTAAGGGCCTGGTGAAGCCCACCTCCGGGTGCGGGGTTTTCTTGCTGCGTTGAAGACACATTGGTGGCCTTGTGCTGTTTTCTGCTCTTTGGTGGGGTTGTTGTCGCTTTGACACATTCCCCGTTTCCATTCTCTATCCTATAATACTATTATGCGTGGGATCATCTTGTAAATGTACAAAAAAGTATAACAAAAATACCGAAATTCAAGGTAAATTCAAAAAGGGGAAGTCCATATAAACTGACAAAATCTAAATTAATCAACCAAAAGAACGAGTAAAAAACAACTCATATTCCTGACTTGGTTAAGGCATTTTCCGAAAAGAATGTTGGGTTAAACCTTGTTTTATAGCTAGCGAAACCTCCCACTTTGATGAAAGTTGTTTATAGTTCCGTTATATTGACAAAAGTGGGCAATCCAAACAGACATAATAGGTTATTATGACAATAATTGAGATTCAGCAGCCAAAACTGTGTATACATACATCACAGACATACAACACAACTGAATAAAAAATTCAAGCAAAACATTGTTTTGTACATAAATCAGGCCTTTAGTTTTCTCGTTTGAATTGTTTTACATTTGTCATTTCGGGGCCTTTTATAGCTGAGTATGCGTTATGGGTTATGCTAATTGTTGAAAGCTGTACGGTGACCTATAGTTGTTAACTACTATGTCATCTGGTCTCTGATTGAGGGTTGTCTCATTGTAAATCATACCACATCTTCTTATTTTTATATACAAATAAAACTATACAAATAAAACTATAATTACATATCATATACAAACATTTTTGTAGAAATAAATATTTGTAGACTAGTAAATATATTCAAAACTGTAATAGTTACACGAAATGTAAATCTGTAATGATTGACAAGTGTAATAAGTTTTAAGAATGTATATACGTTAGCTCGTCTGTTCATTAAAGATTATTCATGAAGTTATGGAATAGTTGATTGCATAATATTTAAAACGGCAGGATGTCAATCTATAACTCTTTAGTTCATTCATTGATTTTTACTTATTCAAAATTTAAAGTTAATTTCATTAAATATTGGCAATAAATTCATTAATTAAAGGGTTATGTTTTTAACGCCTAGAAATGCGTTCATTCGGTATAAATGCCAATAAAAATTCATCACTTTAATGTCGATAGTTAAGTTCGGTTAATAAATCTTTCATTCAAAGAAATAAAACAGTAATTTTACAGAAAAATAATAAAAACTGGAGTTTGTGTTACAAAAATAACTGAACTTTATGGGTAAACTAGTATCTGTGACAAAAATATGGATTTTCAGATTTGGTTTCTTTTATTTTCGAATTCAAAGGATTATAAGATTTATATTTAAAATTATATACAGATATGTTTTCGTTCTCGTTATATCGGTATCACACATTTATATCACTGGTGATCAACACATATTATTTCGCCCCCTCATATGATATTATCAAGTAATCTTCATGTCCTATTTTAGTAGGTATCCACTTTTGTGCTCCTTGAATTAGAACCTGTATAAAGTGTTATACATTAATATGTTTTAAATCTCTCTTACTCAAAAGTAAAATCATAAAAAATACTAAACTCCGAGGAAAATTCAAAAAGGAAAGTCCCTCCCTAATCAAATGGCAAAATCAAAAGCTCAAACACATCAAACGAATGGATAACAACTGTCATATTCCTGACTTGGTACTGGCATTTTCTTATGTAGAAAATGGTGGATTAAACCTGGTTTTAAAGCTAGCTAAACCTCTCACTTGTATGACAGTCGCATCAAATTCCATTATATTGACAACGATGTGTGAACAAAACAAACAGACACAATAGGCA